GCTAAAATATGGTAGTGATACATTAGTAATAAAACTGGATATCCCCGTCAACAAAATAATTGAACTAAAAAAAACATTTAAGTGGAAAAATAATGTATTGATACCAATTTAAAAAAAAATGAGAAAAAAAAAGTACACCACAAAACTACCGAGATATTAAATTGATGAATGAGGTACTAAAACGGTTCCCCAAAATTTTAGACAAGAAAGAAATGTCAAAGCAATCTGTGAAGAACAAGGTATCAGAAACAATACGTAATCATTTATAATTGATTCTCGTTAGTGTCAATAAATACTTTTAAATTACTTAAATCGACATTTCCCGTAAAATCTACATGTTGAGAGACAAAACACCCATTTTGTTCCATGTATTTCGGTTTTCAATTTTTTTTTATTTTGTTAATTGAGTGGCACGTTATCTAATTTATCTTCAGGTGGTATTTCTGGGTCTTGTTCATCATCTGTATATTGAACCAAATCTGAGTGCTGAGACTGATAACAATTCTTCTTTTAGATTAAAGCCCTCATCAGAGTGTTCAGAATCTGAAGCGTCTATATCCGAATTTTCCAGATATTCAAGAAGTATGTTATGGTCAAATTCGGGTCTTAAATATTTTTTATTACAAAAGACAGCTGAAACAATAAAATCTAATATAACATTTTATATAATTTACTGTTTTATTTGGAAATTAAAGTTACAATTGTAGTTTTGAATAAATCTATTGACGTTTCATGTATAATAATACATAATATTTATGTATGTCTAAGAAGCTGACGTCTATAAAAATGGACATCCCTGTTTTATATAAAAAACAAATTCAAAATGATTTGCTAAGACAACTACATCAACGTCAACTACTTTATCAATTGTTTTTCTGCAACTGCCCGCCATGTTTGTCACCTGCGATTAACAGGTTAACTAAGTTAAAATGTGTTGTCGGTAATACAGCGCGAGGTTGTCGGGTTCACTAGTATATACACTACAATGGACCGTGGAACTAGACCCTATAATTTTAGTTCTTGCCAAAAAAATATAATATGTAAATGTTCATTTAATTGGACATCAGGTCTCTGGAGGATATAGCAAAAAATAGGAGAAAAAATGAATTTTTCCAATTTTTTTCACAAGTTGTTTAATAAAAAAACTAGCGCACCTTTTGAAGTCACCACATTGTGAAATAATCAGAAATATGCACATAAAGTAGAACAATTCGTAGGAATGTGCACAAAATTTGCAATAATTAGGTTAAATGTAAACGAGAACATCTCCTTGAAAATTATTCAAGTTTACGCTCCAACCGCAATCCCGATGAAGAGATGGACGAATTATATGAGAAAATTTTAGAAACTGGGACGAACTATCACAGCACGTATACGATGATAATACCCACAAATACTATGCAATGAACACATTCTATAAAAAAAAACTCAAAGAAAGTGGACGTGGCTATCACCAGATGGAAAAGCTCGGAACGAAATAGATTACATACTATGTAACAAAACAGATATCATACAGGAACGTAACAGTAATAAATATGGCGTCAGTAAGTAGCAATCACCAAATGGTTAGAGCCAAATTAGAGATAAAATATAATAAAAATAGAAATGAATTTAGAAAAACTTGGAATATAGACACAGATAAACTAAAATCTATTACAGCACAATTTAAAAGCAAGTTAAAAGCCGCAAAAGTATTAAATCTCGATAAACTTAGCTTAAATGAAATCATTGAAGTCATAACAAAAGAACTATTAAATGCAAGCTCAGAAGTGGAAATCGCTAACAGAAAACAAAAATCCAAAATAAGTATAGAATCACAAAACATGCTGAAACAAAGAAAATATCTTCTGAGACAAAACAGAAAAGTCACTGTAAAATTTAAGGAACTTAATCGAGTAATAAGAAAACATATAAAAGAGGACATTAAAAACATTAAGAAGACCGTATAGAGCAAATCATAGAGAAAAACCAAAGTCTCAAATGCACCAAACCGAAATTAGGAAAGAAAAACATAATATTAATAACCATTAAAAATGAACAAGGACAACTAGAAAAAAGTAAATCTGATATTGCAAATTCAATTGGAAAGTTCTACGCTAATCTGTACCGTTCCATAAATGATCCCCCTAACTCTTCAAAGCAGAACTTAAAAAGGCAGATAACAAATATCAACTCAGAAGTGATGCCCGAAATAAGCCACGATAAAATAGAAAGAGCAGTAAAAGAAGTAAAAAGGAATAAAGCTCCTGGAAGCGATAGAATCGTCCTAGCAGAAATGCTAAAGGAAGGCGGAGAAGAAGCCATAACATATCTATATATATATATATAATATATATATATATTATATATATATATATATATATATATATATATCCCGTTTTATAGCGTAATCCGCCTTTGGGTTCCCGTTCGCCAATCCTGTCTATTCTGCCAGTCTTCTTCAAATAGATTTCTTGCTGACATGGCTTTTGAAATTCCTTGCATCCATGTTGTTGGTGGTCGTCCTCGTTTTCTTTTCTCTGGTGGTACCCATTCTAATATTTTTTTTGGTAGTCTTTCTTCCCCCATACGTCTAACATGTCCGTACCATGTCAGTTGTTGTTTTTCGATGTCTTCTATAATTGATCTTTGTACATTCATTTGATTTCTTATGTCCTCATTTCTCACATGTTCTAATCGAGACTTTCCCGCTGCTCTCCTCCAAAAATCCATTTCAACTGCCAAGAGGTTACCTTTAAGTTTTTGTGATAACTGCCATACTTCTGAGCCATACACGATTACTGGTTTCAATATTGTGTTATATATTCTTTTTTTCGTTTCCGGTCTTATATTTTTCTGCCATAGTACTGAATTCAATGCACCTATAACTCGTTTCCCTTTGGTTATTCTGTCTTTTATGGCTTCATCAGTTCTTCCTGTCTTTGTTAGTTTTACCCCCAAATATATACATTGATCGCATTTCTTAATTTTCCCGTCTTCTAAGTCGAGGTCATCTGCAGTATTTTCTCCTCCTATGCAAAGATATTGCGTTTTTTGTAAATTTACTTCGAGGCCCCATTTTTTTGTACTCTTCCATTAGTTTTCTAGCCATATACTCTAGGTCTTCCTTGTCTTGGGCAATAACTACCTGGTCATCTGCATAATGCAGCGTGTATAACGTTTCATCCCCAATAGACAGCCCCATCCCTTTACACTTCTTTTTCCATTGCCTGAGTGCTTCGTCGATATATATATATATCGACGAAGCACTCAGGCAATGGAATTTGTAGATATATATATATCTACAAATAATATTTAAGAAATGTCTATTCTAAGGCAACATACCCGAACAATGGAATACTACTAAAACAATACTAATACACAAAAAGGGAGACACCACAGACCTGAAAAATTATCGACCAAATTCACTTCTTTTACAACTTTACAAAACCTTTACAAAAATTATTACAAACAGGTTAACAATTAAATTTGACGGATATCAACCTACAACAAGTCGGATTTAGAAAAGGGTACAGCACCTGTGACCATTTATACACTTTGAAAATCCTAATAGAAAAGCCTAACGAATACAATCTCCCATTATCTCTGGCTTTTATAGATTATGAAAAACCTTTTGATAGCGTAGAACTGTGGACAATGGAAGAAGCATTAGTCAACAACTGGATTGGCTCCAGGTACAAAATATTAATATCTAATATTTACGAACGAGCTGAAATGATAGAGACGTTGGATAATGGAATTAAAACAAGACCAGTAAAAATCAACCGAGCAGTAAGTCAAGGAGACACTATATCTCCAAAATTATTTACAGCTGCCCCAGAAAGATATCTTTAAGTCAATAGATTGGAAAAATAAAGGAATCCCTATTAACGGAAGATACTTGAATAATGTTAGATAAGCCGATGATATAGTACTACTAGCCGACACATGACTCAAAACGATGATTGAGGAGCTATACACAGAATCCATAGAAAAGGACTGAAAATGAATTTTAGTAAAACTAAACTAATGTCAAACAAAGATGACAAACCTATGAAAAACATCGAAGGGACAGATATAGAACACATAGATGAATATACATATCTGGGCCAAAATGTGAAGGTAAGCAAAGAAAATTAGACTACCGAAATAAGCAGAAGTTTAGAAATGGGATGGGCAGCATTCGGAAGACTCTCATACGTACCTAAAAATTAAAATATACCTCAAAGACTGCGAACCAAAGTGTTTAATTCCTGTATCCTACCTGTACTTACGTATGGAGCTCAAACCGGGACATTCCCTAAAATAAACATGGAGAAGATCAAAAAAACACAGAGAGCTATGGAACGACAGATGCTGGGTATCTCACTCAAAGGCCATAAAACCAATGAAAACATTCGTAATAGAACAAAAGTAAAAGATGGTATCGAAGAGGCAGCTAAATTGAAATTGAAATGGGCTAGACATAACATACGATGGAATAAAGAAATCGGGTATTGGCGATCATATGAAGCCAAAAGACCACGAGGAAGACCGCAAATGCGCTGGAGCGACGATATTAAAAGAACTGCAGGACCAATGTGGAAATGTCTTACAAATAACAGAAATGAATGGCGAGAATTAGGAGAGGCCTATATTCGGCAATCAGAATAGAGCGAAGGGTTTAAAAAATAATAATAATAATTCAAGGGTAAGGCGGGTTCATAGATCTTTCCAACAACTTGTTTACCATCTTGCGATTCCGTATTGCACAGTTATCATGTATATGTAAATCGTCAGAAAATACTGGTAGCTGTTCTCGACTAAATAAAAAAAAATAAGAAGTTTATTTTTATGATATTATTTTTACCATACGATATGTTTCCTCTAACTTAGCAAAAACTATCATTTTACCGTCCGTTTATTTGTTAGAGCATGATTAAAGCATCCTAGAATGATAGGGTTAGGTAGTAGTTTTTATGTTAGTTTAATTGTATTGATTTATAAAAAAAATTTAACAAATTCCTTTTTTATTTTTTCAGCCATGGAGAAGACCTTATCGTCACACCGTTTGCACAAATTCTTGCCAGTTTACGGAGCGTACGCAACAATTTCCAGTGTCTCACCAATGTGCCCCTTAACAAGTAAGTAGACATTTAGTTTTTTGAACGATGTATTTGTTTTGTGATATTATGAAGGAGAATTGTTGCTCTGCTAGTTTTGTTTGACGATTTTTAACCTTTTGGGAAGGATATTTGAAGCGTCGTCGTGTAAACAGATTATTAGTCATCGTATGCAAATATTAGCAAGTTTGTAGAACTACAAGTTCATGTTTACCGTGGTAAAGAGAAAATTCTACAAACATATATTTATATACACATATTTACTTTCGAGAATTTTACGTTTAGACAGATGTATGTGTAATAAAAACTAGCCATTTAATTGATTATTTCGGTTAGAAATCATAACTGTTTTTAAATCATAACTGTTTTTTTTTCGAATATTTAAGACAAATTAGGTTCTCTGCAAAACTCTGCAAAAAGTGTTTTATAAAAGTAAATTTATTGTATAAATTGTATTTACAATGAATTTCAGAGACCTATAGATAAGCTGCAACTAAGTAAAGGTCATTGATATACAATGGGTTAGTAATCTATGAATTTCTGACCTACAAACAGTCGGAAGGCGACGTATTACTTATTTTGCTTTCCCCGATAGCTAGAAACTTAATTTGTAGAAAAGCATAAGTAATTTTTCTTGCTAGTAAACGTCACTGTGATTTTGTTATTTAAATGTTCTTTTCAATTAAAGGAAGATAAGTTTTTAAAACACATTTATTTCACGGATTTTTATGATATGATCAATTTTAATAAATTCATTTAAATGGGATAGCGGCATCAGCTGCATTATACAGTATGGTGGAAATGAAAGGAATTAATTCGTTATTTCGTAAACCGGAGACTTCAAGGGAAAAATCCTGAAACCCGTCGATTTTTATTTTTAAATAAGCTATTCGTAAGAATACATTTTTATTTTTGACGTTATCTATGTGAGCGTGATGACGTCATTGCTAAAATTTTTAAATAGAAATAGGGGTATTGTAATACATAGATATGTATGTATTGTACAATATGTCTGAGTATTTGATGTTTGTAATTGTTTACAAAAAAAAAAAATTATTAAATATTTATTATTACAATAAATATTTATTATAATAAAAATAAATTTTATAAAGGCCATCACTGGTAATCAAATGTCTTTTTATCTACTTTTTACCTGTTTCAAAAAACTAGTTACCTTTTCAATATGAACATTTATAGTTGGACATTCAAACTTAATTATGTTTCTGTCAATTGATTAATAGTATTATTGTAGTAAACGTATTCAAAAAGTCTTTGTATCTTTGAACATGAAGCTAACTAAAACGCAAAGAATTGAAATTATCATAATGATTGGTTATCGAGATAAAATACGTACGCAGAAAGAAGTATGTGTGTTATTTAATAATAAATACCCCCGTCGAGAACCAATTTCACAATCCACTGTAAGCAAAATTGAGAAAAAATTTAGAGAAACGGGTCATGTTAAAGATCTTCCTAAAGGTAGTAGAACACCAATATTTAAGAACCAACAAGTAAACGTTCTGTTAGCTTTTCAAGAAAATCCTCATAACAGTTCACGGCAAGTAGCATTAGATAATGACATGGACCATTCAACAGTTCTTAAACAGCTAAAGAAGGAAAAGTGGCATCCCTACAAAGTAAGCTTAGTACAAGAACTTATGGAAGATGATTTTGATAGATGAATTGAATTTTATGACATTATAATGGAACGAAATAACAGAGATCCGATGTTTTTAAAACAGATTATTTTCTCTGATGAAGCTACATTTCTACTAAACGGTCATGTCAATCCTCAAACTTATCGGTACTGGGCTACGGAAAATCCACACTGGATGCAAGAGTACCATACTCAATACCCAGAGAAAATTAATGTTTGGATGGAATAATAGATAATAGGTGTATTGGACCATACTTTTTCGAAAAAAACTTAACAGGTCCCCGATATTTAGAATTTCTTCAAAATTTCTTGCTTCCAGAATTGAACCGGTTGTTTCCAAACAGAAATGATTTATGACTACAGCAAGATGGTGCGCCTCCACACTGTGCTGTCTTAGTACGCAACTACTTAAACAACGTCTTTCCAATTCGGTGGATAGGTCGAAGAGGAACAATAGAATGGCCGCCTAGGTCACCTGATTTGACTCCTCTTGATTTCTTTTTATGGGGATATTTAAAAAGTAAGGTGTATCAAAATAGACCACAAAATATTAATGAACTGAAAAAAAAAAATACGTAATGAGGTTGTTCAAATAACTCCAGAAGTTTTAGAGAATGTTAGAGAAGAGTTTGCGACCTTTCACATTGTATTTTAGCTGAAGGTAAACAATTTGAGCACTTAATCTAGGTTTTATTATTTATTGAATAATACTTAATAAATATTTATTGTAATAATAAAAATTTAATTATTTTTTTAAACAATTACAAACTTTAATTACTTAGACATATTGATATAGCTGAATAGGTATTGAAAAGACCTTTCAAATGATGTCTTACAATACCCCCTTTCTATTCAAAAATTTTATCAATGACGTCATCACGCTCACATAGATGACGTCAAAAATAAAAATGTATTCTTACGAATAGCTTATTTACAAATAAAAATCGACATTTTTGTGTACTTTCATTAAATTTTCATCTACATTTTGTTATTAAATATATTAATTAGAATAGGTAAATGGTTAGACCTTAATATACTTTTTCAACTCTCCAATTACAAAGTGTTAAGATCTACTGCTGATTTTATATATTTGGTGTGGGATAGAGGTCAGAGTTTCCTCTCCGGTATTAAGAATTACTAATTTGATATTTTTATTGCCTCGAGTAAATTATAACCAGAAACATTATATCTTCCATAAGCCCTCACACTATAATCACGATTAAAATCACCTATAATAATAATGAGATGCTATGTTTTCTCTGTGTTGTTGTACGGGGCGGAGGCATGGACTCTTACAGACGCCACTATTAAAAAACTTGAAGCATTTGAGATGTGGCTTTATAGAAGAATGCTGAGAATATCATGGACAGCAAGGATCACGAACAAGGAAGTTCTAGGAAAAATGAAGAAGGAACCAGAGATTGTGTTTACGATCAAACGCATAAAATTGCAATATCTGGGACACGCTATGAGAAATCAGCACCGTTACTCCCTGCTACAGTCTATATTGCAAGGTAAAGTCAAAGGTAAGCGAGGACCCGGTAGAAGGAGAATATCATGGCTGCGGAATTTAAAAACATGGTTTAAGAAAACCTCAACGGAGCTGTTTCGAGCCGCAGCGAGCAAGGTTATGATTGCCAATATGATTTTCAACATCCGAAACGGATAGGAACCAGAAGAAGAATAATAATAATAGGTTTTTCTAGACTTAGCATTCCCCTGTTACAGCGGGTTACAGTTACCAGCTGAAGTCCGTTTGAAGTGGTCCCTCCAGACGCTGGTACTCACGTGAGGCAGGGTTATATGTTGCCTGAAGTTAAATCCAATAAAATATTAAACATCATTCATTTTTAACAACAATATGCGCATTTTTTGGTAATTTTAATTTTCTGTAAAGGATTTTACCCTAATATTTTGGTGACTCAGGCATGTTAACCTGCTTTTAACCTGATGATGGATTTATTATTCCGAAAACGTTTGTTATTTTGATGTAGCCCTTCTAAGGGTTTTTTTAAATATAGCTACTTACAAAGATTTAAACCTCTTTTTGCGATACATGGTATACAGACACCTGCAGGAATTTATTTTCTTTGTGGATTTTGAATGTAATAAAGTTAAGCAGAGAGTGTTGTAAAAATCATGACACCTAACATTTTAAGTTACAAAACAATCAAACTACCTTGACGTTTGGCTGTTATAGTGTACTTTTCTACTCAGTTTTCTTAGTTAGACGTTTTAGCACTTTCTAGAAAATTTTCCCCTCTATATCTGACATCGTATTATACCTTTGTCTTCCCACTTTTATGAATATACGGCTTTTCTAGTTTGGATTTCTTCAATGGCTTCCAGTGATTAATTGGATATTGCCTTTGCTAGATTGTGGCATGAGGAAATGATGCTGGAACTGTCGCATATTTTTTGAACCCTTTTTTGTGAATTGTGATAAACTAAGGTGTTCCACTTATTCGACCATTTCCTGGTGGCAGATCCTGTTGAATATGTCTACTCCACTTCACCTGTTTCACCTGTCAGGATTTATTTTGCTGTTCCCTCATCTTTACCCGATGATTTACGCTCTTTTGGCTTTGTGAGTACTGCTTGGTTGCTGTTTTATGATCAGCCACGAGAATTTGGCGATATTATTTCCATCTTTAAGTTATTTGTGTTTAATACGTTAGGATTTCTCAATATTCTAGTCATAGAGTATTGTGATTTCGTAAGAAGTCGCGTATGATTTGGTTTCTTTTAGGGAACATGATAACTGTTCCGTTCCTATAAAAAATTATGAGCGAATTTTTACAAACCAAAATAGACTGAAAATCTAATGAACCTTAAGGGTAATTTTTTTTATTAACCCACTTTTATTACAACCTATCTATACAATCTCAACCCAAAAACCTAAATATTTGGGTAGCTAATTGGCAATAAGTATTAGGACTGACAATTAAAGTATTATGACATGCCAGGAGGCACCCATGTTTTAAACTTAATCATCAATGTTGACTATTTTTGACACCTATTTATACATAATACGTATATATTTAATATCAATCAATTAACTCTAACACATATTTTTGTTTTAGCCTTTAAACTGTATGCGGTTTATTCACTTAACTTTTTGCAAACACATTCGGATGCACTTTAAGTTTCTATGTATGTTTTTTCGCACACTTTTCGAAATGTTCTTTGACGTATGTTAGTTCGGCGCCTTAATGACTTCATTGGTTATGTGGAAATAGTTAATCATCTTTTTTCTATCGGAACGGAAAAGTTATCATATTTGTAGTAAATCAGAATTTATAATTTGATAATTTGAGAAAAATTTTCAGATTTTTTTTTCAATTTCATTTTTATTTTTTTTACG